GTAACATCATCATAGAAACGACGATCACGTGAGCAAAAATAACGCGATCGAAGCCAATGACTTCGAGCTCCCCCCAAAAAGATCACAATGTTTATCCAATTTAACGCGAGAGACGTTTCTTGCTTTGCGTCTGCGACAAATGAGACGCGATTGTGTATCGATCGTTATCTTAATCCGGTTTCTTTTGAAAGGCGCATTCGGATCAAGAGTCTGCCTTGTATCCGAATGTTTTGCGCTTTCTCAGCGATCTCAGGCCGTGACAGCAGGAAGCTGGGAAAAGGTCACAAAAGTCACGTGACCCGCTCGTCAACGTTTGACAAGACTTGCGTCAAACGAGACGCGATTGTGTATCGATCGTTATCTTATCCAGTTTTGTTTTGAAAGGCGCGTTCAGATCAAGAGTCTGCCTTGTATCCGAATGTTTTGCGCTTTCTAAGCGATCTCAGGCCGTGACAGCAGGAAGCTGGGGAAAAGGTCACCAAAGTCACGTGACCCGCTCGTCAACGTTTGACGAGACTTGCAATCGATTCGACTTTACTCGTGTCACAAGTGCGGTGGCATCTTGACCTACAGTTTTTTTTCCAAGTAGCGAGTCGTCGCTTGGTTTTGTTTGCTCTCGCGGGGTCGAGGCAATTTCGAGCTCGGCCTTCGCTCAGGTGAAGTTTAAAAAAAAAAAAAAAAACACCAACAAAAATAGGTACTATCATGCCTCAGCATGTGGGGAAGGAGAGCCACGTTCACCGTTTCCTGTACATGACCAAAAATTCAAATCTAAAATGACACTACGCGGGTCTGATGGGACTCGCTAGGCCACGCTCCTTAAAGGCGGATATCGGCACCAATTCTACAGTCGTATTTCATTTGTGAGTGCTATTTTCTTCCATTTTGCTGCACTTCACGCGAGCGCCCGATGGCACCGGAATGCATCGGCAGGTCAAATTCAACCCCCCGCGTTGTCTCTCCGTGCAGCTAGCCCGGTCATGGCGGCCCGCCCCGTCTCCTCGGCGATGCCTCGGCCCGCCGTCCGAGATGGGCCCTTCAGCAAGGAGCGGGAGCCTCCGCTGCCGCTCTGCCCCTCCCCTTCCCGGCGCCGCCCCGCCCTCTCGCTGCCCGACGTGTGCCCCAAAGAGCCCACCGGTAAGAACAAACGGCGTGACGCTCGCCTGAATGCGTCGCCACTGGAAAACGACTCATGATGACACTGAAACGCGGTAGCAATCCCACTCAACGTCACTCGTATGCAAGAACTGAGCAATAAACCGTGCCGACTCTCGAATGCATCGCCGGTGCAACGAGATGACGATGTCATTTTAACCCCCCCCGCGCGCAGGCGATGGGCGGGGCCTGCGCGAGGGACCGTCGGTGGTCTCGGAGCACGACCGCTGGACGGTTTACAGTTCCAAGGTCAACCTGCCGGCGGCGCTCAACGACCCGAGGCTGGCCAAACGCGAGTCGGACTTCTTCACCAAGACCTGGGGTCTGGATTTTGGCGAGACGGAGGTGATGCCGTCCTTCTGCCTCGGCAACGTCACGCCGGAGCACTTTGGCGCGTACCTGCAGGAGAGCGCGCAGGTGAGCTTCAGCGGCTTTCCTTTTTCTTTGAATCTAAAAGCAGACTTGTTTTAATTCTCTCTTTTTTGTGGGGCGGGGGGCGGGGCTTTCAGAGGGAAAAAATCCACAAGCGATGCAAGGCTCTTTGTCCAATCAAAGAGGACTTTGTGGACACCATCTGCAGCACCAGCACCAACCAAGGTTCCAGTTTGCTCACGAGCTGAAGCCATCACACGGGCTTTGGTCATGTGACTAAATTGAGTTTGTTTGTTTGTTTGTTTTTTTCCTTTTGGGTCGAGCAGATAAGTCAAGAGCCGAGTTGGAGCAAGTCCCCAAGGTAACACGTTTGTCTTCTTCGGCTTCTGTCCCCGTCAGCTTGTCTCGAGGCGTTTGTGACTTGCGAGACGCGAACCTTCCACCTCTTGCTACCACAAATTTTTGAGATTTTTGTTCTTGTTCTTGATACTTTTCCTTTTTGGGAACTAAAAGATCCCAAACAATTCCAAAGATTGTCGGACCTTTCGAGAGTCCGACCACCCCCCCCCCGTAGCAGGCTCTTCCCGTGGCCTTGATCGATAACCCTCAACGCGACCGTGGCCACTTTTCAGATGTTCCTGAAGCCCGACTTTGCCCTGGAGGAGCCGTCGACCTTCGACGCCGTCCTGCCGTGGTCGCACTTCAACAGCGGCGGCGGCGGCCGCAGCAGCCGCGACGTGGCGTCCTCCAAACTGCTTCAGGAGAAGGTCGGGGCTACGCGCTTCTTTTTGTTTTTCAAACATCGCGAACTCAGGTCCTCGTCCTTGCGCGTCGCAGCTGAGTCACTACCTGGACGTGGTGGAGGTGAGCATCGCGCGGCAGATCTCGCTGCGCTCGGAGGCCTTCTTCCACGCCATGTCGTCGCAGCACGAGCTGCGCGACCGCCTGAGGGAGACGCAGGAGGCGGTGGCCGCGCTGCGGCGCCGCACCGCCGCCATCGACCGCGTCATGTGCCGGGGCCCCCTGGCGGCCCTGCGCGCCGCCCTCGCGCGCAACAACTGCGTCAAGCTGCACGGCAAGCTGAAGCTGATGGCCGCCGTGCACCAGACGCAGCCCACCGTGCAGCTGCTGCTCTCCACGTCCGAGTTTGTGGGCGCGCTGGAGCTCATCGCCACCACCAAGGAGGTCCTGCAGCAGGAGCTGCAAGGCATCCACAGCTTCAGGTGACGCGCCGTCGTCGTCGTCGTCGTCGCCGTCTCCTTAGACCGCCGGCGTCTGAACCGCGGCCACTTGTGGGCGCTGTCCACCTTTTTACCGTGACCACATCTTGAGGGTCTCCCAATTTGTTGAAACTCGTCGGAGATGCGATTGACTTGAGCTTCTTTGATGTGTGAAATGACTTTTTTTTTTTTTGTATCCGGGGCAGGCATCTGGGCTCTCAGCTGTGCGAGCTGGAGAAGCTGATTGACAAGATGATGGTGGAGGACTTCAGCATGTACGCGCGCAGCGAGCTCAGCCGCAACCCGAGGGACGACACGCAGCTCCTGGAGAAGGTCTGTTTCAGAATGGACAAAACAAAATCCACGATGCACGATTGAATTCTAATATCTAGGCTAGTCCCGGCTTCTGACGTTTGTTGAATCAATCGCAAGCCCAACTCGGATCGAGCAACGGATTGCGTTCTTTGCCAAGTGGCCAGTTTCGAAAACCAGGCTATACTTTTATACATACTTATACAGTAGTGTGTGTGTGTGTGTGTGTGTGTGTGTGGCCTGTAGGCCGTAACTTTATACCCCATATTTGAGCCGCTGATTAAGACAGAGCGTTGACTAAAGACATGATGTTACAGAGCCAAGATTTACGTGATGGACAATGTGCTTGAGTGGGGAGGATTAAAAAAAAAAGGTGTGTGTGTGTGTGTGTGTGTGTGTGTGTGTGTGCGCGCGTGTGGGGGGGGGGGGGGGGGGGGGGGGGGGGGAATGGCCAAGGAAATAGAAGAATTATTCCACAATATATGATCATGTCAAGGTTACTCGGATTTTTGTCACCCCTGATCCAGAGATGATCATTCTGTCATTGATTGCTTTTGTCTGTGTCGTTTGTGGCATTCCCCGTCCGTCAAAAGCATCCCGATGACGTGACGTGTGTGTGTGTGTGTGTGTGTGTGTGTGTGTGTGCAGGAGCGTCTTCAGTCGCTGGTGTTTGGCCTGCTGCGCCAGAGGAAGTTGGACTTTTTGGACATTTACGGCGACGAGATGATGGCGGCGGCCAAGGCCGTCGTGTCCCAGGTCTGCCCCCTGCGTTTTTTTTTTTTGGGCTTGTCCTTGTTGTCATGGCAACGGGACGTGACCGCCATTTGTGTCGACAGTGCGTCGCTGAGCGACTCCTGTCCATTGACGACATCGACACGGAAGTCGTCACCAAGTAAGTCGCGGTGGTCCGGGTGTGCGTCGCCGACGCCGACATCCCGATGACGTCACGCCCGCGGGCGCTTCTCCTGCCTCCAGGTTGGCCGAGCAGATGCGTCTGATGACCTTCCCTCAGTGGTTTGACCTCGTCAAGGACGTCTTTGAGTGCTTCCTGCTTTTCCTCCGCAGGATGAAGGTCAGTCACCACTTAGAATTTTTATTTTTCAAAGATTCTTTCCGACGGAGAACCAAAATTGCCTTCTTGTCTTCTCCCAGGCCACCCTCGGCGTGATCCGGTTGGTGGTCTTGGAAGTTCTGGAGTCCACCCAGAAGACTTCCTCGGCGGGGAGGTCCCACCCGGAGCGCTGTCAGCCTCACGAGGCGGCGTCCGGCATGTGCGGGGACGTCGCCGAGTTGGCCTACCTCACGCACGACGGCCCATTTATCAGCGACGCCCTCCACGACGCCCACCAAGCCAGAGCCGCCGCGCGCTCTGGGTCGCCGGGCGCCGACTCGGCATCCGGAGAGCAGAACTTCACGTAGGTCGCACGCAAGTGTCACTTCCCCCAAAATGGAAATCAGGAAAGTCGAAAAAGAAAAAAAGAACCGCCAATCAAAAACCGTTCGGACGCCAGAATGAGCGCGGTCACAAATTCGACCGGAAGTACTCGAGGGTGTGTTGTCTTGAACGAGTTTTTATTCTGTTAAAACCGATGCAGGTACAACACTGCCGATGACACGATACCATCTGACTTGGAATTGAACCGTTTGCTGAACAACATCCAGGAGCTTCTGCACGCCGCCTCCGACATCAGCCACGATTGCTGTGTCAAGCTCCTCACTGCCAGAGCCAAGGTACCAAAACATTTGGGGCTTTATTTTTCCCAAATTTCAGTTCATTCATTTTTAAATGTTCTTCTCACATATTCCATTGACCGCATCCAATGTGAAAATTACAAAACATCGTTTGGGCTAAAAAAAAAAAAAATGATGATGATTGAAGAACAAGGTGTATTTTTCGTCCAGGTCGTGGAGGATCAGAGCAGCTCCACGACTTGGGCAGCAAGCGGTCGACGTGTGTGTGGCATTGGCATTATTTTTTTTAATGAATTAATTTCTTTCTTTTTGGCCTTCACTGAACAATCGTCTCGCTCTAAAATAAAATAATTGCTCTAGTGTTGAATTGAAGTGTTCATTTTGGAGAAGCGACGCCGCCGTAGCTCGCGTGTCTTCCATCGACCGCATCCGGTATCACACACTCTCCGCTTGTCCGCGACAGGACGGCTCTCTGGAGCGTATCACTTCGTCCGAGTTTGTGGATCTCTCCGTGGCGGTGGAGTCCTTCGCCGAGGAGACGGAGGAGCTGTGCGGCAGGCGCAGCGTGTCCCTGCGGGGGGCGCTGCAGAGTCAGGCCGACCGCTTCGTCCACCGCTTCCACGAGGAGCGCAAGACCAAACTCAGGTGAGCGACCGGCGACCCGCCGCGATCACCGCAATCATCCTGACGACCGCTTGGTCAATGTGCCCCCCCCGGCAGTCTCCTGCTGGATAACGAGCGCTGGAAGCAGGCGGAGGTTCCCGCCGAGTTTCAGGAGCTGGCGGACTCCATGGCGGGCGGCACCATTGCGCTGGCGGCGCACAAAGCGGCAGGTAGCCACCAGCACAATCTTGGCGTTGGTATTGGTGATATTAGCTTTTTTATTATTTTTTTAAAGGTCCCCACCCCTTTTTTTTTACAACAAAACACGAACTGAATTACATTCAAATCGGCATGCGCTGACAACTTAAATACTGTCTGTCGCCGGGAATGAGCTCTTCTTTTGTTTTGAGACGTGACTTCGAAGCAGCTTGCAGAGTTGAGTCAAGGAGCAGCTTCTTTCAAGTTCATCATTAACTCCCCCCCCCCCCCATTTGAATACCACGATTTAGTAGCATGATACTTTTGCTCATGGTTCTCATACCGTCACAATCTACTATAAGCCCATGCCTACGTTCAAACAAATATTCTCTGAAAAAATGTGGAAATTTTTTGCAGAATTTTCTCTCTGTTGTCAAGCTCGCAAAATATGAAAGGATTGCCGATCTTGGACCCACTTTTCTCCAGATTGTCGCTACGTTTCTCCATTTTCTATTCTTTTCTTTCTTACCGCTATTTTTTATTTTTCTTCTTCATGCGACCGCTATTTTTATTTTCATTCTTCTTGACGGGTTCACTTTGGCCTGGGGAGTCAAGTTCAGCATTCGCTTCGATGATGTCTGGCGCCATCTAGCGTCGTGAAAGGGTATAACGTCTAGACCTCGAATATAAGACGACACCCACTTTTTCAGTCTTATTTTAATGCAAACAACACCGTCTTATATTGGGGCCAATACGGTATTTGTGGTACTGGTTTGTTTCCCTGAATGCGCCTCCTTTTCCTTTGCTCTGACTGTCTCTATAATAAGCCGCTCTCGCACAACTCTAATTGCCCCATGGGGATAAATAAAGTTTTCTGAATCTGAATCTAACTTGGTGTGTGCCCTACAGATGGAAATTTACAAACAGAGACCTGTCCAGTGAGACCGATTAATCGACCACTTTATCAGTTACCTGACCTTTATTCTTCCAAATATCGGAATCGGCCTCCTAAAATCCACGTCAGTCAGGTTCTCTCATCGCGTGCTTCTTAAACAATTGCCTTGACGAGTTCTTTGGTGACATCACAGGTCCAGATGAAAGGAAGCCGGCCGACTTCTTGGTCGTGAAGGGCCACAAATACGCCGTGGTGGGGTAGGTGCGGCGCCGGGGAGTCGCGTGACCTGCTCAGAAGCAAAGCGCCAGCGCGCTTACCAGCTTTGATGTTTGTCTTCAGCACGGTGCTGCTTCTCATCCGGATCCTTCTGGAATACTGCCAGTGTGTCAACGACATCCCGGCGATCGCCACCGACATGTTGACGCGTCTGGCTGACCTCCTCAAGGTCAGAACGCTTTTGAGGTCATGTTTTTACTCTGCGGAAAAAAACAAAAAAACAAATCATTGTGCCTTCAAAAGAACTCCCAAAATAGGGAGCCAGTGAAGGGATGCCAGAGTAGGAGCTGCGGCATTCTGGAGCAACTGGAGACGCTTCATGGAGGATTGGCTAACTATAAAGTCAAGCGCATGACAGTCATCCAGAGCAATTTTTGTCGTAATTTCACTTTTTTTTTTTTTAATATGGCAATGAAAATCTTTTAAAGACTTTTTTTGTGCGATCCATCGAGAAAATACTCAACATATTATTTGACAATTAAAATAATGGCTCGTCGCACCCCTCGATGTGTGTTGCCAACCGAAAGTGTTTGTCACGTGTTGCAGCACTTCAACTCACGCAGCTGTCAGCTGGTTCTCGGTGCAGGAGCGCTGCAGGTGGTCGGCCTCAAGACCATCACCACCAAAAACCTCGGTGAGCGCCCGCACGCACGCCCGCCCGCCATCGGTCGACGGCAAAGATTGACGGCTGTGTGTTTGTGTTAGCGTTAGCATCACGCTGCCTGCAGCTGGTGATGTTCTACATTCCCGTCATCAGGCGACATTTTGAGAGCAAACTGCAGCCCAAACATGCGAACGTCCTCAGGCACTTTGACCACATCACCAAGGTAACCGCAGCGGCGCGAACGTCACACACACAGACACAGACACACACACACACACACACACACACACACACGCGCCACCCGCTTCCCGTTCATTGGCACGTGTGCGTGTGCTTTGTAGGACTACAACGACCACGTAGCCGAGATCTGGGCCAAGCTGGTGGCCATCATGGACGGCATCTTTGAGAAGGTTCTGACCATTTTTCCCCTCTTGTTCGGGATGTAACGATTCACCCGAAATTGATTTAAAATCAACCCCAAATAATTGAAAATCAGTTACTGTTTGTCACCAAATGCAGCATCTGTTGGTTCTATATATATAGAGTCATTCATTTTGTTAAAAAAAAAAACATTAAAAAAGATTTTAAAAAATTTGAATCGTTGCGTGAGTGAATCCTGAATTCCCTCCCTCCTGTCATTCTTTTTTTTTTTTTTTCTTCCCCCTTCTCTGTTACGGCATCGGCGCAGTATGAGGTGAAGGCCCCGATGCCGTCGTCGTGTTTCCGCAACGTGTGCAAGCAGATGGTCAAGATGCACGAGGCCATCAACGACCTCCTGCCGCCTGAGCAGACGCAGGTACGCCGTGCAACACCGCTTCCCGTTTGGGCCTCCCGCGGCCAATCGGCTGACACACGTTTGTGCGTATTTGTAGATGCTATTTGACCGGATCAACCTCAGCTTGAAGATGAACCTGAAGAGGCAGCTGATTCGACTCGGCGTCGTCAACGACGGCGGGCCACAGCACGGGTAACTCGCTCGTACGCTCTGCAACGTTGTCCGTTACGGGTCCGTTGACATTGCGTGGCCCCCCCTCTGCTGTGCCCAGCCTGGCCACCAGCGGGGTAGTGTCATACAATCCAAAAGAAGATGGGTAGAGCAATGAATTGATTGATCAGCAACCAATCAATTCATGTTTTTCCTCGAGCTTGGGAAAATAATGACGTTGTCCACATTTTGGGAGTTCAAACAGTCGAGTCAATCTTTTGCCGATTTTTTTTTTTTAATCAGGGAAAACACTGCCCTCTAGTGGAAAGGAGTGGAACATCATTGTCTGTACCCGCCCGTCCTTTGAAAATCAGTGTGGACTGTCGGCGTGTATTCTCAGGCTGGTGGTGGTGGACGTGGCCTTCTACACGGAGAACGTGCAGGCCCTCAAGAACCTCGAGACTTTGGACCTCAACATGGCCGAGATCTGGGAGCAGAAGAGGTGACCCTCCGCCGACGCTGCCGTTAACAGAAACAAGATGGCGGACGAGCGGCGACGTCCTTGACGGGAAAAGCCGTCTGAGCGCTCGGCGGATGTGCGGAAGCTCAACGTCTGGGAGACTCTGTGCCCTCCCGTGTAAAGACAATCCAGTGCCGCGAGTAGAACGACAACATTTTTGCTCCGCTACAAGCGTCACTTTTGGCCTACTCGTGCGATTAGTATGAACGAGTCCAAAAATTCAATATCCCGCTTAGGGTCCAGGTAATAGTACGCTCTTTGTCCTCAATAGTAGGACAACAGCACTACTAGCGAGCCAAAGCCGCACTAATTGACAACTGTGTGCTACGACTCCTCGTGAACATGTCAACTCGTGAGATGTGACCAAGTAGCACATAATTTAGCAACTAGTTGCCCACTGACCATGTGACCTTAGCAAAAAGAATTCCCCAATTTTGGAGAACCACCCTCCACCCCTCCCGGAGAGACTGTTGTCATGACAACACAGGACACACCCCCATCAAGAAGCTGAGGACCAAACTGACTTTTCCTTAAGTGTGCACCGCAGCATCTCAGGAAAATTGGGACATTCTTTTCACAATTTGGAGATTTGTGATCTTTTTTTTTTTCTCCTTCAAACCTGAATATACTTTATTGAATCAGCACGTCATCAATGTGCCTCAACACAACTGTGCGTGTAACAGACTTGGCGTGTGTGTGTGTGTGTGTGCGTGCGTGCGTGTCTGTGCGCATGCATGCGTATGTCTTGATGGTTTCTGAGCTGATGCAAATAGACAAGAACGAAGGAGTCGTCAGTTTCCAAGTGCATCTTGTGTGATGTCATTGAAAAGCTCCTTGATGCCTCTGATTTCGTAAATGATGACACATGACTTGCTTGAACCTGGCATGAACCTGCTCATGTTGATGCAGGGATGAGGCAAGCCAGTGAATGAATGCCAGAGTAAGAGTTCTTTACTCCCTCTTAGAAGTACCAGTCAAGAGGGGAGCAACTGCATTCTGGACCAACTGGAGGCGCTTCATGGAGGATTGGTCGTCTCATGCATCGTCAAGTGCATGAGAGTAATCTAGTCGAGATGTGCTTTTGGGAAAGGAGAGGCTTTACTTTAGCCAGCTGCCTAAAATGAAAGAAGCTGGATTGAACAATGGCACCCATTTGCCGCTCCAATTTTAAATCCCTGTCCAGTTGAAGAGCCAAGTTGGAGACTGTTGGCTAAAGGTAAGGAGCCAGGGTAACCAAATCCGCAGAATGGGATGAACAAGGGCCACTGATATGACTTTATGTGAGCCAGATTTGGGCGAGAAGATTTGAAAAGTCATTTAAAAAGTACTTGTTGTATTTAGAATGGCGGTAAATGACACCGGAGAGAGTCATTTGCAATGATCGTTTCAATGATTTTGAGGCGAAGGCTCAAGTGTTAAAATGCAATGACTTGCTTGAACTGCAATCCGGGCGGGTTTTACGATTGGCAACGTAAGATGGCCGCCGGTGGCTTGATACATTCTGGCCAGGAAGGGTTTGGTCACCGTATTCCAGACAAGTTGTGCTTCACACTCCCGTCCAAAGGGGTCGGTAGTGAGTCTTAAAAGTTTTGTGCACACCTGCGCTGAACAACAAAGGAGGAGGAACGTCAGTGTGATGGAGGCTGACCCCGAGGCGGGACGACTAGATGGAGCACAAGAGAAACTCGTCATGTTTGTTCGACTGAGCCCGACCGGAGTGGAACCAGCCGGGGATCGTTGAGGGAACCGGAGGGGGATGCAGTGAGTTGAAGCCGGTGACCTGTGCATTTGAAAAGCCCGCTAAACGTCGGAAGTCGGTAGTGAGTCTTAAAAGTTTTGTGCACACCTGCGCTGAACAACAAAGGAGGAGGAACGTCAGTGTGATGGAGGCTGACCCCGAGGCGGGACGACTAGATGGAGCACAAGAGAAACTCGTCATGTTTGTTCGACTGAGCCCGACCGGAGTGGAACCAGCCGGGGATCGTTGAGGGAACCGGAGGGGGATGCAGTGAGTTGAAAGCCGGTGACCGGTGCATTTGGGAAAGCCCGCTAAACGTCGGAGCCCATTGGCGGAGGAAAGAAGTTAGCCGTTAGCTCCTCGACCTCACACACACTAAAACGGAAAGTCGGGAATAACGACCTTCGGGAGTTGTTACACTACATATGTAAAAATAGATGTAGATTGGTTTAACGTCGTTTGTCGTTGAGAACATGGTTTGAATTAGCCTTGGATGTGGCCGAAAAAAAATCTAACATGCGGTGGGTCCAACCCATAAACGCGCGTGCGGGTTCGACTCGTTGACGTCACATTCGGCTGGAGCATAGACAAATCTACAGGAGACGAAATGATGCGTTTAGGGATTGGAACGTCGGCCTTTGTTACCCAGACGTTTTCTCCAGGGGAGGACTGGCAACTATAAATTCTGCAACTGTTTTCGAAATTTTGAAAAAGGTGTGATGAAAAAACGCGGTCACGGGTTCTTCACGAGCCATCGTCAGCGACGAATACAGCCATGTCTCGTTTATCGCGGTTAATGGGGGACCAAAACAACCCGCGATAAACGAAAATGCGAGAAGTGAGCGAGCGCCCCCCCCCCCATGGGTACATGTACACGTGTGTGAGTATAAAAAATATTTATACGGCCAAATTTAATGGTATACAATGCTTGTAGAAGTCAATTTTGTTGTAATTAACATTACTTAACGCTGTATACTAATAGATTGAAACATGTATAAGTTAGGTTCGTGTATGACTAACAAAATACATTAAAACACATACATGTAGTACTGTATATGTTGCTCTATGTGACTCGCTGTTGTTTTGCTGACTTTCTCTGCTTCTTGCGAACCGTTTGCGGACTTATTAATTTATTTTATTATTTTTTTAATGAATATGTTTGAAAAAAATCCGCAATGAACTGACGCCACGATAAACAAATCCGGTGGTGGTAATTAAAATGTGGATTATGTTAGGAGCGCCACGGCAGTGGAGGAGTCGCTAGCCTCATTTATTTTATTATTTTTTTAATGAATATGTTTGAAAAAAATCCGCAATGAACTGACGCCACGATAAACAAACCGCAACATAGCGAGGGATCTCTGTCGTGGTAAACTGAATGATGCAGTCATGCACTGCAGCGTTTCAGGTCTTGAGTGGGGGCCATGCCTTACGGCCATTGACTGGCGTACAACTTTGGAACGGGTCAGTCTGACCCGCAGCATCAATCGATACTTTTTGACATTATTTTCCTCATAATTTAGAACGTAGCAGCTTTGGTTCTATATGGCGCTTTCCTAAGGATCCGGTGGTGGATTATGTTAGGAGCGCCACGAACGTAGCACGGCAGTGGAGGAGTCGCTAGCCTTGGCCACTAGCTGAAGGCCGGACGGCTTGAAGGCAAACGGCAGAGTCGTGGAATGATCCAACAGATGAGAAGAAAGCAGGGTGATAAACATGTCAAGTGGATGCAGAGAAAGGTCTGGCTCAGCGCTGCGACGAACCGTTTGTTGAACAAGCCATTCATCTGTCAAATAGTTTTTCCCCCCATGAATCGTTAAGAAAAAAAAAATATCATAAGAATTCTATGATCGTGGATTCGGCGTCACTCGCTACTGACCGCGGTGAACGTTGCTGCGGCGAGGTCAGTCACTTATTTGAAACTCCGAGACTGACAGAAAAGGTTCCGGACGACAATATGTGCTACGCCGCCGATCGCCCTGATCCGGTCTGCCAATTTGCGTCTTCGTGCCGATGCATCGGTGATCCTGAGCGTGGGGATGTTTTGCCGGCAGGTTATGAAGCGCGTCCGCACGGAGCAGATCCAGTACGCCGTGACTCAGTACCTCAAGCGCAGGCAGTATGTGGATGTGGCCGACGGCTCCCTGAAAGCCACCAAACTCTTCCAGACGGCTGAGGAGATGGCTGCCAGCCTCACCGGTAAGATTATTAAAAATAATAATAATAATAACAATACGGTAATACGCCATACATAGACGGATCACATCCATCTCGTATTCTCATATTGGGAAGAATCGTAAACTTTGCTTATCTGACCTTACTTTTAAAGTCAAATTATGAATTTAAAAAATACGTTAGGTTTTTTTTTAAAGTATTTTTTTTTTTTTTTTTTTTAAGTTACATATGTCATGATATTTCTGCCTCAAGTCACCTTTCTGAAACACAGGATGCGGTTGTCCAATCGAGGTGACACATGGACTGCAGGTCCAAAGAAGATCCTCTAGGTGGTGCTATAACATCCCTCAATTATTCGTTTCCAGCAGGGGGGGGGCAAGCTTTTTTTTTTTTTTTCACAAAGGAAGCGGTCTATCGAAGAAATTATTTTATTCTCTCACTAAGATTTCATCTTTCAAAAAACAAGTAGTTGAAATGTTTTACCTTAGTATTAAATTCTAGTGAAAATGTCCTTCGCTTTCGTCTTTGTCAATTAGTTTCATGCATGAGGTTCATTTGAATGAGTTCAATGTTTCTGTTCGGCCAGATCGAAGAAAGTAGATTGAACGCTTCATCATGCTGACTTATTGTGGTCTTTTCTGGACTCAACAAATCAATAAATACTCCATATACGTAGATGTAGATTTATGGATCTAGATATTTATGTAAAACTAAAACCAATGCTAAAACTCTTAAAAAACCCAACTGAAGCGAAGCGTTGTCGAAAAAAAAATAAAAAAAGTATCATAACCTGCTTTGAAATCCTCATTAAAACTGATTTGGGGGAAAAAAAAAATGTCAAACGGACACAAAAATGAACTCGTGTGAAAAATGCAAACCGAATTTTAACCCCGCAGCGGAAACGTCAAAAAGTATCTACTCCCAGTATCTACGACTGTAACTTTTGAGGTCTTTCCCATGAACTTTGCCACTTCCTGTGTGTGTGTGTGTCCTTGTGCGTGCGCGCAGTCCAGAGCGAGTCGGGGTGCGCCAACGTGGTGTCGGCGGCGCCGTGCCAGTCTGACCCGCAGCAATACGAGTCGCAGTACGCCAGGCTGCGCTGCTTCCTGTCAGGTAGGACCAAAGTCCTCTGGATTTTTGCCTCGCCGCGCTGGCGTTTCGCCGCGCTGGCGTCGTTGTCGCGTCGCCCAAAAAAAAGCAATTCGAGCAGTTCAAAGTGAAGGTCGGCATGGTAATTGGAGTGGCGCAGCGGTTATTCGAAATCATCATCAAATTAATCGCTTCATTATCTTTGAAAATTGAAGTTGAACTCGTCATTTTTTTTTTCCGGCGGCTTCAGAAGCCGACATCTCGTGGGCCAAGGAAGTGAGCGCGCTCCTGTACCCGCTCTTCGTCCACCTCCACCTGGACATGGTGCGCTGCGGCCTCAAGTCGGCGGCGGACGGCTTTCACGCGCGCTTCCACGCCGCCTTCCTGCAGGACGCCGATCAGCGGGCCACCGCCGAGCAGCTGCGCCACGTCCTCGGCGCCGCCGATGCGGCGGCCAGCCCCCGCCTCGCCGCCTTCCTGGAGCACAAGTACGTGGTGCGCCTCAGCGAGGGCGCCCACGACTACCTGCTGCGCTACCTGCAGAGCGACGACAACGGCGCCATCTGCAGGGTCCTCGCGGCGCACCTGCAGCTGGAGGTGAGCGCGGGAAGCCCGGTTCCGCCGTCTTCGCCGCGCGAACGCCGCGCGCGAGTCTTTCCGCTCCGCCGTCATCGGGTTTGGCGGCGAACGGCGGCGATGTGTCATTCGCGGTCCCAACTTTTTCGTGGGAGTCGCCCGTTTTGGACAAGCAAACAAGCTTTTTGATCAAAGATAGATTTCGTGGCAACAGTGACCTCGACGCCAGTAATTTTTTGCTTTCGTGAAGGCTCAAGCGTCCGACCGCGGCGTTTGTTCTGTAAAATAGCAACGACGACAGTCATGAGAATCAGCTTTCGATCAGTGACGAAAGTCCTCCGGATTTTCAAATTTTCATGAAAATTGAACTGCCTCAAATCAATCCGGATATGAGTTGACAACATTGAACGAGCACGCGTTTGAGTTCGTTGTTTTGCTTTCACAAAAGCGTAGCCACGTTGAGGCACTAACGCTAGTAACAGTCAAGAGATTTTCGTCTCTTTATAAACATGCTTGCACACCGTGGACAATACAGTTGTTGTAGTCAAAAAAAAATATATATATATATTTGGACAAAAAGGGAAACACACAGATGAGCAGAAATACGTGTGCGTCCGTCTTCGAGCGCCGCGTCGTCTCGGCTAGCTTAGCTTAGCTGTTGTCATCGATCAAAGCTTCTTCGATCTGAACGAGCACGCGTTTGAGTTCGTTGTTTTGCTTTCACAAAAGCGTAGCCACGTTGAGGCACTAACGCTAGTAACAGTCAAGAGATTTTCGTCTCTTTATAAACATGCTTGCACACCGTGGACAATACAGTTGTTGTAGTCAAAAAAAAAAATATATATATATTTGGACAAAAAGGGAAACACACAGATGAGCAGAAATACGTGTGCGTCCGTCTTCGAGCGCCGCGTCGTCTCGGCTAGCTTAGCTTAGCTGTTGTCATCGATCAAAGCTTCTTCGATCTGTGAGGTCGGTTGCGTCGGCGCTGATTGGTTGAAACCAACCAACCAACCAACCAAAAGAATGTATTTTCAAAATAATCACCACTCTAAGAATGTTACATTTGACACCCTTGCACACCGTTTAGTCGTAGTAGTATTTAGTAGTGTGCGTGCACGCATGTGCATAAACAGGTCCATCCCCCCTTTTATTTTGAAAGAATTCAGTCCTGGCTCTCTCTTTTTTTTTGACATTCTTTGTCGTAGATTTGATATCAGTCGCAATTTGCTTGAAATGTCGCATTTCCAAAGATCCGCTCTCGGGGAAAGCGATCGTTGACATCTGCGGCCTTCGTAAAAGCGCCATCTCAATCAAAAAATACGCCCCACCCGCTTTCCGTAGGTGAGCGCCTCCAAACGGACCGACTACCAGCTTTACGGGGCGGGGACGGCCCCGTCCGCCGGCGCCCCCGACTCCACCCGGGCGAGAGCGGACGGCGGCGAGGCGGCGGCGGCGGCGGCGGGCGAGCAGCAGAACCAGGCGGCCCTGGAGGCGCTGCGCGACTGCATCAAGAAAGTCCGCGAGGGTCCGCCCTCGCTCACCACCGTGTGCTTCTACGCCTTCCGGCACACGGAGCAGCTGCTCAACACCGCCGAGGTGTCGCCCGACAGCCGCCTGCTGGCCGCCGGCTTCGACAACTCCGCCGTCAAGCTGTGGAGCCTCCGCGCCCGCAAACTCAAGGCCAAGCCGCACGTGAGCGATGTGTCGCGGGTGCGCCTGGCCTGCGACGTCCTGGAGGAGGACGTGAGTACTTTGCGGCCTTCCTTTCCTTCTTCTTCCCCAAGAAAGAATAAATTGAGCAAAGCCTAACCCCAGATGGACGAGGAGGACGCCTCGGGCAGCGAGATCAAGATGCTGCGCGGCCACAGCGGCCCCGTGTTCCGGACGGCCTTCCTGACGGACAGCTCGGGCCTGCTGTCCTGCTCGGAGGACACCAGCGTGCGCTACTGGGACCTGGGCAGCTTCACCAACACGGCGCTCTACCAGGGCCACGCCTACCCGGTGTGGGACGTGGACGTGAGCCCGTGCAGCCTCTACTTCGCCAGCGGCTCGCAGGACCGCAGCGCCCGCCTCTGGACCTTCTCGCGGGCGTACCCGCTGCGCGTCTACGCCGGGCACCTGGCCGACGTGGACTGCGTCCGCTTCCACCCCAACTCCAACTACCTGGCCACCGGCTCCAGCGACAAGACGGTGCGGCTGTGGAGCGCCCAGCAGGGGGCCTCGGTGCGCCTCTTCACCGGCCACCGCGGGCCCGTGCTGGCGCTGGCCTTCTCGCCCGACGGCAAGTACTTGGCCTCGGGCGGCGAGGACCAGCGCGTCAAGCTGTGGGACCTGGCCTCGGGGGCGCTCCTCAAGGACCTGCGGGGCCACTCGGACGCCGTCACCGGCCTGTCCTTCAGCCCCGACAGCGGCCTGGTGGCGTCCTCGTCCGCCGACAACACGGTGCGAATGTGGGACGTGCGCGGCGCGCTGCCGCTGGCGGCGGGGGGGGGCGCC